ATTGCGAGTCTCTGGTGGTGGTCCATCGGTATCAATTATACCGGATGCCTTTCGGCGGATTATTGGCGAAAGAACTGCAGTTCTTTTGGGCCTGATGACACCCGCTGTGGGCCCCAAACCCACAGGCGCTCTTCATACCCATCATAATCAACTCTGAGTTATTCATCACGCGAGAGAGATCAGTAGAATTTAATCACCAGTCCAATAAAAAATGACTAAATGAACATCGTTGCGAAAATCTTAGACTGGCATATGATATTTCGCTGAATCGAGTTGATGTGAAAACAATCCTCTGATAAGGGCCAGTGGCTTTACATCAGTTATCGCTAGCCTTCGCGTGTCTTTCACAGCGCAAACAAAAAAAAAAATAAACACTCGGAGCCACACGAGTTGGAAAACACCGCGTGTTATTGAAATTGTGCGATTATATCGGTTTATCGGTTCTCGTGGGATCTTGAGAAAATCGGGGAATTAGAAATTCCAATCGGCGATGACTAACTGGAAGGTCGACAGGTATCGGTACGAGATCATCGCAATGTGGAGAATCAATTAGCGCGTGATGATCATTGAATATCGAATGATCATGAGGTAATCATCGGAATTTCTCATTTTCGAGAATTCAGCGCTGGAAATTGTTGATAAAATGACAGCTGAGGGTCTAGGTTTGAAGTGGTTTAATTAGTTCTCTTGAAGTGGGTTCGACCTCAGGCGAAGTCTCGACCTGCGGAATTTTTCATCTTTTGTCTGAGAATAAAAACCCCTGCCAAATTTCTGGTCGAGGAATAAGCAGAGGGCCATTTTTTGGTGCCTTGAAGAAAGAAAAAATTATCCTCAGGGACATCTTGGGTCTAGCCCCTCGCCTCTATTACTATTACTATTTTTCCTTGGTATTTTCTATTTTCTTCTACCTTATTGACTTATTACAGGAGTTAATTTTTTTTAAAACTCTCAAGTCTTTACCGATCTCTCTGGTATTTTTCTCTGGATTCAAGTGCCTTCAAACGAGCGCATCGCGTGTAAATTCGCAACATCCGTCTGCATGGAAGAATAAAAACATTATATTTCAAACAAAATGCCGAGAGGTCAGAAGATGACGGACTCCTCGGTTCGTGATCAATCACCCGGATCTTGCAGACGTATTTTCCCCCAGGCTTTGCTCCAATGTTTTCTCGCCTCGAGGGCCCATATCAGACGATAAGACATCGTGCACGTATGTTTTTCGTATCAATCCTCGATATGTAGTCACACGTGTTAAACTACTTTCCACTTGGACGTACAATCTCAGGGTGAAATCAACAGAATTGAATTTATCTGGTAAAAATTGTCTGGGAATTTCATTCAAATACATTAGCTCAGCCTAAAAATCAGTGATTTGCGATTACTTAATCAGGAAGGATAAGTTGTCAAGCCAATTTCACATTTTGATGAATCAGGATGGGGTCAGAGGTACCAGAGGTACCAAAGGTACCAGAGAATCGCATCCTGGAGTTCTGATCAGAATCCAGACTAGAATCAGATCTAGAACCGATTTGGATGAATCTCCACTGGGACTATCATCGAAATGACTTCAGAAAATCAGTGAATTATCTGAATGTTGGTGTACAAGTCCTGGAGACACTCAGGGAGAGGAAAACCGGTCGGCGTTGGAGACAAACACGCAGAGGTGACGTATACTCTCCTCCTGCCCACCTCATCTCCCTCTCACAATTTTTTTTCATTTTTTTTTCTCTCTCGTCATTTACTGTCCCCCTGAGGAGGGGCAAAGGGGGAATTGTGTACTCCTCGGAGAGGTTAAGCCCCTTCCTGGCATCTGGAGTGACGACGCGTCGCTAACACATAAATTCCAGGGTTACGGAACTCTTTGCCGCGCACAAATTTGTTAATTACCGTTAATAATTCTTCTTTCTCTTCGCTGTTAAAATTCTGCCTGCGCGAGATGAGGTCCAGATGATTTACAGGTAGACTTCGCTCTCCCAGAATTTTTTTGAGAGTGATTTATGGGACGGGAGGGAGTGGAAATTTTTGGAGAGGATTGGAAAATTATTTAGTCCTCTACCCGGTTGGAAATTTTATTGGAGAAAAATTGGGAATCGGTTGTGGGGGACAGGTGTACGTCATGTCGGTGGTTTAATGATGAAAAAAATTGTACCAATTGAGGGGAATTGAAATCAACAACTGGTTTTGAGATCAGGTACGGTGTGGGGATTGGCTGATGGTTTGATATTGTTAAATTTTAGAATCAAAATGAGAACACGTGGAATGGGTTTTGCTCGGTGTACGCGATCGTTAAAGGAAGTAAAAAATGGATGGATGGGAGAAATTTATTTTATTGGTGGCATTCGCTGGGAAATGATGCTCATTACGATTGTAACTACCGGGATAAATTTCAGTTTTCAATTCATTTTTTATTAACGTGGAATTATTCAGTAGCCATGTGGTAAAGTGAGATAAGTCGAATTTTGCACTTTTGTTGAATATCGATAAATCTCAAAAACCGTTGCTTTCAGGAGAAAACATGAAAAGACTTTTTTTATCGAAAATTTAGTAAGCTACAAAAAAAGCTCTTACGTGTTCACTCTCAGATCGATAGTTTTCGAGATAAGTCGTTAATTAAAAACGATTTTGAGTAAATTGATTTTTGAAGAAGTGAAAAATTCCAGGGAAATATTTGTAATTCGATTTTTCGATCTTCTCGTTCGACGATCGACCACTTGACGCTTTTTCAAATATTGTCCCACCGTGGGTGGGTAAATCCTGGCGACATCGAAAGACTCCATCCACCTACAAAAAATCAAAAAATAAATGGAGGGGAATCGGTGGAGTAGTCACGTACTGACCGTCTCCTACACGCAAATGGGTTGGATAAACAAATGAAAATGTTCTCGGAACGATCTGCTTTCAGTCAATATCGGTACCTGGGAATTACGCAATCACCAGAGTGGATTGGAGTCGGTATCGCCGATTTGGATCGTTAATTCACTCGTAAACCCCTGGAAATTCAGACCCTCGGACACTTTAATCGCCTCCATCCACCGATGAACGACCACTTGGGGATTATATTTTGACTCTCAGGGTCAGGAAAAATGAACCTGCCAAATCCTCTGATGCGATCGCAACCGGTTGGGTCTCAAGTGTCAAAAAAATACCTGGAAAATGAAACTTTGAGGCTTTCAATATTACAGATAATGAAAATAATACGAAAAAGTCATGTCCCATTATTTTATGACGACCTGGGGCATCAGATCCCTGAGGAATGGAAAAATATAGAATAAATTCAGGGAATAGGTATAAAATAGGGTGTCAATTTCACTCTTGCCTCGCCAACAATGACAACTGGTGGAGTGTCACCTCTCGAAGAGTGACAACCGAATTTTGCCTCTTTTTGTACTCGAAAATTTCGGCCTCATTGTTCTGAGCGTGTAATCCCTGTTACCGCGCGCTTACATTCGAAAGAAACGAGTGAAAAAGAGAGAAAAAAAAAGAGAGGATAAAGGAAAAAAAGGGAAGAGAGCTCGCCAAACAATGTAGGGGAGGAGAGAACGGTCAAACCACTTGAGGTGTACAATGGGCCCCAAGGGGTGAAGACGGGTCCCAAGAAGGTCGAGGGTACACTGGAATTTTTCGGGGTCAGACCGCAGTACAAAGCTATCGGGCCCGTCTATGGGTGAATCCCACAAAAGCACCTGCTGGTGAACAGACAACCCCTCGACCTTAGGTGCACAGTCAGGGGTGGAGACAGGACTCTTTCAGAGTAAAAATAAAAATAATGGAGAAGAATAAACTACTCGACTCTCGGACCCAAATTTTTCCGAATCATAAATAAACTGATCCTAATGAAGAATTTATTTGGACGAGCTGAACAGACGGAGAGCTTTTTCTCTTTCTATTTTTAAAAAGAGAGAACACATTTTTATTTATTAAGAAATTGTGGGTTGTGACGTTCTGCTTAATTAGTTCGCGAAAATTAACGTATCGAGAAAATTCTAAAAAATCTGTAATTTAATTACAGGTGACACGGAATTTCCGGGAAAATTACGCTGTGAATATTGATTGTCTGTTGAAGATTCAGATAATTACGGAATTTTCCTGTTCGAGGCAGTAAAACCGGTATTTCCTCCGAATTTTTGTAGAAACTGGAAATTCCTTGGTTTTATCCTCGGAAATAGAATAAAAAAATTAAAAGCACTGCCGGAAATTTACATTTTTAATTTCTAACAATTCTTAATTAACGAATTTATTTAATCTGATTATTCTGGTGATTATCAATTTTCTATAGGAAAGATTTCCCTGAATTTTCAATCTCCTCAAAAATCAATGATGATTCAACCAGAAAATCCCAATTTTTAATAAAAATTAACTTCTCCCGCATAATGAAAATGACTCCAACATCACCAAATTTTCCCCACAATCTTTCCAAAGAATTCCCAAACCATCTCAATGGAATAATCAATAATAACAAATCATGAAGTCCTAAAAAAACAAATCCATCGCATTTCCCATCAGCCTTACGCAATATGCCTGCCACATTCCTCGAAGATGCTCGAATCTCACCTAAAACCTCACACCCCTGTTCTTTATCTAATCGCAACACATGTTTTCTTTTTCATCCAACTCCAGATGCACCTCGAAACCGAAAGATTGAAAACCCAAGGCCCCCCCCCGACCCCCTCGACCAGACTTGACCCGAAAAGAGCAAAATGTTGTTGGTTACCCCAAATCACCTCTCGACTCCGAACTGTAGAAAAAGGTAGAAAAAGGTAGTGTACCTGGATTACAGAGAATAAGACGAGGGGGTGGGGTTCGACGGGGGGTTGTGGG